CTGCATTGAAGAGTTTGACCTGTCAGATAAGAACTTCAAACCATGCCCCTGTGGATATCAGGTATGTGTAATTTATTTTTTCCTGGTTTTGTTGCATCTTGAGTTTTCACCCCCTCAATCATTCCAGTAGACGCAAAGTTTCATCTATTTACATCTATATATATCTGCACACTCTCTGTGCTTATATATCCTGTGTCAGGCTAAGGCAGCTAATATTCTTCCCAGATCTGCCAGTTTTGCTACAATAACATAAAAACACACAGCGAGGAAGGGCGATGTCCAAACTGCAGACGCGTATATGATGAGAGTACATTCAATGACAGAGTTCCCAGATGCCGACGAGTTAGTCCATTCCACCTCTTATCCCTTTTTGTGTATCCGTTAGATCTAACGCGGATTGTCACCCAATCAGGTTTAAAGCGGACTTGGCGTTAAAACATCGCAAGGCTGCAGCTGCCAAAAAGCGAGAGGCCGAAAAGCGAGAAATTGAAGCGTCCAGTCGAAGAAATCTCGCTGGTGTTCGGGTTGTACAAAAGAACCTGGTTTATGTCATTGGCCTAAACCCCACGATACGAGATGAAAATCAACTTCTACAAACTTTGCGTGGAGACCAATATTTTGGACAGTATGGGGATATTGAAAAGATTGTTGTGAGCAAGGCCAAACCAGGTGGCAATCCAAACCAGGGCATCGGTGTTTACGTAACCTTCGCTCGCAAAGCTGATGCCACAACGTGCATTGCCGCTGTGGATGGATCTCCGAATGGCGACCGCGTCTTACGGTGGGTTTATCCATATGGATATGGCTCCCCGAATAAGCTGTCAACTGGATACTGATTCCTGTTTGATATAGGGCCCAATATGGTACAACGAAATATTGCTCGTCATTTCTTCGAAACGAGCAATGCAATAATCGCAACTGTACATTTCTTCACGAAACGGGCGAAGATAACGATAGCTTCAGTCGCCAAGATCTATCCTCCATGAACACCATGTCATCACAACGTGTTCACCCAAGCGGGCCAAGTGGGCCTCCTCCTTCAACCCAGTCTCCATACACCTATCACTCTCAACCTGTCAGATCAGCCACACATCCCATCCAAATTCCGGCCGGGCCCCAACCAATGCGGCGACAAAACAGTAAAGACGAGCCAGGGAATCGAACCAACATTGACTCTTCCGCTTTGCCGTCGTCTGCTAGTTGGGCTAACAGGGATTCCCATGTGCAACGTGCACGGCGGCCAAGCGTGGCTGCTAGCCAATCAACCCCTAGTCCCAAGATTGCGAATGCGGTTGTCAACAAAATTGAGGATTTAAAGCGAACTGCTGAAAGCGCCCCAGCGCCCGGTCAGGATTCTGCTAGAAAACAGACCCCAACTCCGGCAGAAGCCTCAAGCTCATCTACCAGCGCTACTCGAACAGTGTCCCCTCCTTCGCCGTCTGCCCCTAGTGAAACTACCATGCTGGACGAGCTGGTGAAAGCAGTCAATAACCCGGATTTCCGTTTCATATTTTCATCTGCGGGGCTGACATCTGAGGAGATCGCGTACATCGAGAATCATCCTTCTCTTATCGATCCATATGGCGGAATTAAGCGCCGTGCGATGCGGGAGAAAGCTGAACATGAACGAGCAAGCCAGGAATCTGAGAACCAAATGTTAGTTCATTCTGCTACGAACGAAGAGGAGAACCTTGAGGGTGGCAGTTCACAACTAGGCGGCGAGCCTGAAGAAATTCATTCCAACATTGTCTCGGGACGAAATAATAGGGAGCCTCTTAGTGCAATTCAACCACCATCTCAACAGACGACATCCGTAAATTCTGCGATTGGATCGCCTGTTTCCTCTGGCCACCAGTTTCACGGAATAAATGTTGCCGGTCGAAGCCTAACTCCCCTCCAGCAACAACAGCTTCTGTTACTCAAGAATGCTGGCGGGCAACATATGGGGTTAATGGATCAAGTACACACTGGGTCGGGCTCCAATGCATTTGAGCATAATGTCCAAGCACGTGCAGGTCTATTTTCAAAATCAGATGCCACAGATGGCTGGTTTGCATGGTCATGTTAGACAATCATCACGATTCTCCTTTGTGAATGATGCCAACGCAAAAAACGCAGCCAACCAAAGACTCGTCAATCAGC